CACTGCAATGGCTTCACCCATTACTTTTCTTACAGCTAATTACGGATTATAGACAAATATTCTGTCTTTATCGCCTGCTTATAGCGGAGACTCTCTTCTGACAGAAACACCTACGTGAGTTGCCAAGACCTTGTCAGAGAAAGGGCGGTACAAATATGCACTTTTCCTTCCTGCCATCTCGCCTCCTGCTTTACCCCCAAAGCTCCTCGGAGGAGGCCCTGGAGACCTGCAGGAATGCTCTGGCTGCCTGCCCTGGCGCTGAACTCTTTGGGTGGGGCAGCAGGCAGGCTGGGCGCGGGGCTCCTGATCTGGAATGCACTTCCTCATAGAGGTGCCAAGGCCTAACCTCGGCGGATTCTAAACACAATGGGTTTTGAGCTACCAAGGCATTTATTATTGCTGATGGAGAGGTGAAAAAAAAGGCCTTTTAAATTTGCAGAGAACTGAGATGCAGGTTAAGAAGAGTAGTCATCGAGTTTGACTAACTCAGAAGAAATAAAAGAAAGTCTTCTAAAGTAACAAGTCATATACTATAAATTAATGATATAAACTAACAAAAAGCAAAAAAGCAAAAGTCCCCTTTTGGTCACAACTTGTTTTCTTTTATTCTTTTTTCTTTTTTTTTTTTTTTTTTTGCTGAGGAAGACTGGCCCTGAGCTAACATCCATGCCAATCTTCCTCTACTTTATACATGGGACGCCTACCACAGCATGGCTTTTGCCAAGCGGTGCCATGTCCACACCCGGGATTCGAACCAGCAAACCCCAGGCCGCCAAGAAGCAGAACGTGCAAACTTAACCGCTGTGCCACTGGGCCAGCCCATGTTTTCTATTATATATAAACGTTAAATGAGAGGTAAGAATTTATGCTGATAACTCCTGAAACTGTAGTTCTAAAATTGTATCACGGAGAGAGTATCAGCAGAATTTAATTTATGAAAACTAATAGCTGGCCTTATTAGAATTTTAAAAGAAAATCTATCTTCTATATAAACCATAACTCCATTCCTGCCAAATACAGTACAATATAATAAAATAAACTTTTTCTATGTCTTAAAATCAGCTTTCTACCATTTTAATTGTCAATATTTTTAAATAAAAATTTAAGTAACTGTGGCAGGGTTACTTTAGTAAGGTAATACTTTTGTTTCCACTTGTCAGTAAAAAGTAATTTTTCAAAAAACAAGAGCTATTGTTCCTTTCCTGCCCAGCCACCCATGAATGAGGATCAGGAATAGGAAGCTTCTCAGGGAGAAAGCTACTCTGGAGCTGGGAGTGTGGGAGGAAGAAGGGACAGGGCTGGAAGGGCTGCCTGTAGCCGTGGGGAAGGGATGGTGGGGAAGGGACAGAGGCCTGAGGGCTACAGTGACCTAGTGACTTGCAAGCCACTCCCTCACAGACTCCCCCACCCCCACCTCCCAGGTAGCAGAGCCCTAAAGGGGGACTGGTAGCACAGTCTCTCTAGGGAGGCCTGATCCTAAGCACAAGAGGCTCTCAGGCTCAGCAAAGACCCCTCTCACACACGTTCCAGCCCAGCTTCACACAGAACTGCCCACCCTCATGGGGCCTGGAGGGCTGGGACAAGGAATACAGCAGTGACTGACAGAGGGTGAAGCAAAGAGGGCCCTCTTCAAATATTCTGCTCTAAGTCAGACCCTGCCATGTCTTTAGGAGGAAAGGATGGCTGAGATGGGGTCTCTACCAGCTGGGTTCAATTGAGGCTCAAAGCAGAGCACATTTGAATTAGAGGAAAAAGAAAATGTAACATTTAACAAAATAGAACAACATTAATCCCAGCCCCTACAACGTCCTTCAGATGTGTAAGACAGCAACTGTAACATCGCATCGCTGGCATTTGCTAGACGGTCCCTCCCCACCCGGGACAATCACACTGTCAAGGGAAGGATCATCTCTGGGTCCCCAGAACACATCGGAGTTTTGCGGAAGCCAGGCTTGAGAAGTCAGGCTAAAAGTAATGCAAAATCAAAGGAAAATGTGTGCACAGCAAAGTCATAGTTTCTAAACACAGCATTGTTTAATCCTCTTTTTAGAATAAAAATGACGAAAATACACCATTGCTTAAAATATACATAATGAATTAGCATAAATGCTTCAAGATATCACTACTAGGACATTCACTTTAGTTATATTTATAGTCTTCAAATTTTGAAACAGCTTAAATATACAAGAACTAAACATTGGTTGAATAAATTATGTCACATCTATATATCTTTGCAGCAGAAAATTATACCAATCTTAAAATGGTGCTGTATAAGAACATTTAAAAACTTATTAGAACATATCCATGATATATTATTGAATAAGAAAAGCAAGTTGTAAAACATTACTATATTACTTTTGCAGAAAAGATACACAAATGACTAGAAGGCTATTTAACATAGTGTTAGTACTAGAGAACAGAATTTAATATGAAAGATTTTTTTTCTTTTTGGGATGGAAGTTTCTAAGTTTCCTAAATTTTCTACAACCACCGTGTGTCTTATAATAATAAAAGCATAACATTTTCTGCATTTTTAAAAGATCCGCCTGATGCTGACAGGCTGTCCTCGAGAAGCCTGAGCTGTGCATTCGTCACACCCTCAAGCCTTGCAGAAGAGGGAGTGAGTTTTAACACAACACAAAGGGATGGGGGGGAGGCGCCGGGGATGTGGACGTGCGTGAAGGCTCCACACAGTCCCGGGCTGCTCTGGGAAAACTGCATTTCGCTGGCTCTGCAGAAGTGAAGAGAAAAACAAAAGCCAAAACCCTTGTCCCTAAATTAATCAGCTTCTAGATTTTGGGCTTCCAAGGAGAAAGACAGAGAAAGAGACACACACACACACACACACAAGTGTTACAGAAGCAGATATTTTTATAAGAGCATATGAAAAAGAGCAGCAACCTGAGCAGGTTGTAAAAAGCACGTGTGATTCCCACATTTCAAGTGGAATGAAATGTTGATTTGAAGAAAGGAATGCCTTTGATATTCTCAGCCAGTCTCAGAATAATTTCATGAGGCACAGTGTTTCAGAAATAGCATAGGATTTGAAAGTTTGCTTATTAATTATACAACGCTGCACTTGATCCAAATGGGATTTAAGACTGCTCAAATGAAAAGATAAAGACAAAATATTAAGATAAAGGTATTACACATTATGGCTAGAATTTTTGTCCAAAGCCATCTACGTATTATGTAATCTTGACCAAATTTACCTTTTTAAATCTTAGTTTCCTCATCAGCCAAATGGGAATAATGATAATACTTATGTGGCAATGTAATCTATTGCAAAATTAAATCATGTCTATTTTTGCCACTGTAGAACCATCAGAAACAAATTAATTTCCTCCCAGCCCAGTGGGAGGAGGGGACCGACAATCAGATTTAATTTGACTTTAGAAACAGTAGTCAGGTGACATTCTCACAGCCAGCAGCGGTGGAACAAACTCAAACACTTTCTTCACAGGCTTGGCATGAGGATTAAACGAAACTGCATGTCATAACGCTATGTCAATTGTCATGCAATGTTCAGATGTTAATTATTGTTATTAAAAATTCCACTGACTTCACATAATATGGCAGAAAGACCCAGGAGATCTGGGTTCTCATCCGAGCCCCACCCCTGGCTTGCTGCAGGGACCATGTTTTCCTAATCTGTAAAATGGGAACATACTCTTTGCTTTGCCCTACCTCACAGAGTTATTTTCAGGCTGAAGTGAGATAATATGCGTGAAAAGTCTGTGGAGCATGTCAGACAATGGTGATCTATAAGTAAGCCACAAACCAAAGTCAGTCACATTCTAAGTAATATTCAAAGTCAGTAATACAGTAAAATTCTGTGAGCTCTGAGCACTGAACATGGAATAGAACTGATTCATTAGGTAGTTTTATGAAAAAAGTCGTCTGTACTAAAAACAAGAAATCTGAATAATCAAATGTCCACTAAAAGTAGAATGAATAAAGAAACTGCCATACAATAGAATACTCACAGCAAGAAAAACGAATGCACTTCACGATACACTACATGTAACACTGACATAAAGAAGCAAGACACACGGGGCTGGCCCTGTGGCCGAGGGGTTGGGTTCGCGCGCTCCACTTCGGCAGCCCAGGGTTTCACCGGTTCAGATCCTGGGTGCGGACATGGCACTGCTCATCAGGCCATGCTGAGGCAGCATCCCACATGCCACAACTAGAAGGACCCACAACTAAAAATATGCAACTATGTACCGGGGGGCTTTGGGGAGAAAAAGGAAAAATAAAATCTTTAAAAAAAAATTTAAAAAAAGAAGCAAGACACAAAAGAACATATCATGATTCATTCATATATTGTTAAAAACAGGCAAAATAAACTAGTTTGTTCAGGGAAGGCTACATAAGTAGTAAAATTATAATGAAAAATATGGAAATAATTATCACAAAGTCAGATGGGGGTTGGGGAGGGAGGAGACGGTGAAGATGTGATCAGGCAAATAGAAGGGACTTCTGGGCTGTAGTCCATGTTAAATTTTGTGTGTGTGTATGCATATATTTATATTTACATTTATATGTGTATGTGCATATGTATGTATATATATTTTATGTATTTTTCTACATATATTATATTTCACAAAGAAAGACCAACAATAACAAAAAACCAACTGAATTCTGTACAGATGAAGTTATGTCAACAATGTTCCTTTTTGTTAAAAGACTTTTGCTAAGAGTTTGTTTCAATTCCAATCTTAGACACCACAAACTAAGAAATTACTCAGTTGAGATTTTACTTAATCCCTTCAAAAAGAAAGCATAGTCATCAAGCAGATTATGGTAATTCAAGTTGATTACCTGTCTACTTATTAATAATTTCTAATGATTTGCACATTTTCTGGGTCAAATTAAAAATTCTAGTATTAACAATAAAAACACGACAGGGTTTTAGTCCCACCTGAGTATATCTTGTACCAGCAGCCTAAAAGTAAGCGCAAGTTTACATTGATGACTTGGGGGGCTCCATGACTTACCAGCTGGCTGTGTTTGTGCTATTCTCTTAGGGTAAGTCTTGCTTCGACTTCTTGCCACATTCTGATCTGGCCGGGGAAGTTGAATAGAAAGATCTCGACTCATTTGTAATGCCGTCCTGCCACTTGAAAATACAACATTTTGATTAACACAAGTAAAACCACACAGCCACAAAAATCAAACGATGGCTCATGCAGAATACCTGCAAAGTATGGAGAGAAGAAAAAACACAGACTCACACAGGCTGTAAGAATACATGGGTTTCCAATTGGTTCTCACGGCAATATCAACCCAAGGAAGCAGTATTAACTTCTAACAGGAAAGATTTAGGTTAGATAGAAGGAGAATCTTTCAGGAGAAGAAATAGGGAAAAAGGGTTTATTAAAAGAGGAGTTAGGTTTAGATTTAAGTACAATGAGGGGTGAAAAATAGAGGATGCTGATGGTCTTCCAGCCCTACAACTAAATAATAAAGAAATTATGTTGGGCTAAATGACACAAGGGCAATGATTCTATATAAACCAACATGTCCCTGTGTTGTACTCACACAGCAAGTTGCATAGCATCCCCCATAGGACCCCTAGGTGTGACTTTACTCTGAACCCTGTTGTGGCATAATCAACCACTTACTATGCCACCTCACATGATCAAGTCCACAGGGAGATTCAAAGCAGGCCTAAAAGCCCACGCGTGGTGCTGCTTCTCTAGAGTCTGAGGATTCAAGAAGGCGAGCTGTCCCCGGGGAGGGACTAATCTTCTCAAGGAATTGTGTGATTTCATTTGCTGGATTTCAGTGAACATCCATCCTACTAAAAATTTATTTCACAGCTGCTGGCTTTGAGCCAATGAATGACCCCAGCTTTCACACAGGAAAATACTTAGGTACGGGAAAAACGCATTTCTATATGTCTAGTTTGATTCACCACAAGAAGAGCCATCTATGGGAAGGAAATAGCCTTTTAATGGCCCTAAATCCTATGCATCCTACATTTACAGGATAAATATTGGTGAATCTCTCCCGAAAGAGATTAGGTGAAACTCATAAAGCAAAACTCACCTCCTATACGCTTCTGTGAAAGTTTTCCCTCCTTACTACCCCATCTATCTTTATTGGAAATAAAAAGATGCTTGAAACACTCATAAAAAGTGGCTTCTCATCAGGCTAATTGCAGACACCACTTGAAACGAGCTACTATGAATTAAGATGCCAGGTTCCATCTACGAGTGTACTTCGTGTTCAACAGAACATGGGAACCAGGGGGAGGGATGGGGAAGGATGCAAATTGTAACAGGTTTTCCTTCCCTTGAAATTTATTTTTTTTAGAGGCAGCACATAAGGCAACACAAATAGCAACATCTCTCTCCCAAAAACCTGAAAAAGAATTCCATCGAGAGAGCAAAATTCCATTATCATAAATGGTTTGGAGTATGAATATAAGACAACAGACTTTCTTGGCTATCAGAAAGAATTGGGTACTGAGTACTTCTCTACATAGAAGAAAAATATCTGCCCTAAAAGTATAACCCAATATGTGGACCACTGAGGTATTTTATAGTGAGATTTTACTTTATTACTCAATTTTTCCTCATAGTTTCTCTCCCAGGAATAAAGGAGAAATGAGAAAATCATATCACAAGATTAATAAAACTAAGGTCCAGAAACATAAACTGACCTGCCCCAGCTACAGGGGACCCAGGAGTGGAACAAGCTTTCTGACCTCCAGCTGGTCAGTATGGCACAGCCTCGTGGTGCGGGAGAAGGGACAGAACACTAAGCCATTGGGTTTGAAGTTGCAAACTCAGTTTAAAACATAGTTCTGCCACAACTGTGAGGTCTTCGGCAGATTATTTTTAAAGTCTCCTGGAGCCTCATTTTCCTCATTTATAATATATTTCTACTAGTTCTTACTATTTTCTTGCAGCAGAAACTATCTGACTACTATAGAGACTCAGAGAGTGAAGTGTAAGAGTTCCTACGCTGTCTGGTGGCTCTTCGTAGTGACAGGACAGAGCCTCATTCCCAGGATTACCCACTGCCCTGCCTCCTCACACTCTGGTGCACACACTCCCGTTCTATGCAGAGTGGCACTGCCAGGAGCCCTTCAGCCTCAAAGTGAGGGCACAATGGGCCATCAGTGGGGGAGATGGAAGAGAACAAGATGGGAACAACTGGGTTCAAATCCCAGCTTTGCTACTTTACTTGGGAGTCTTTAATTCAGTCACCCTAAGGTTAAGGGTCTTTATTCAGTTACCTTACTTTTTGGGGCTCAAATTTCTCCTCCGTATAAATGATAAATGAAGACATGATACCTTCTTTGGCAGGTGATTGAGCAGATTAAATACAGTAACACATGTGAAAGCACCTGACGCAAAGGGGGTTCTCATGAGAACCTGGCCTCTCTTCCACGCTTTAGGAAAGGTGGAAAGCTCGCGTGATGAAAGTTGTACAAGAAGGGCATCTGGGTTCCCAGGGGGCATTTCTCAGGCCTAATTCTCATTTCTGGAGTATAAATTTTACACAGCTCACTCATTCATCAAAACCAGGAGTCCCCTCTGAACTTAACAACAGGTAAAAGCAAGGTTAACTTTTAAGGGGCTCAGAGAAAGATATCAATGTATAAAAAAATACTTAATCAATCAAAGATTTAATCAATTTCTATTTCAGCTTAATGGTCTCTGATAATAAGACAACAACAACAAATGAATTAGATTATCCGATTTCATCTCAGGCTTTCCCCACAAATCTAATTTTGAATTTTTGAAAGGATTGGCTGTCACATCTCACTAAAAATGTCTAATTTTTTCCATTATCAAGTAATGACTAGTGTTTCTAAAAGATGCCAGAATCTCCATGGTATTTTGCAAGCTCAAAAATGCAGGAAAGAGAGTAACGACTAAAACACTATCTTCCTCCATCACATACACCTACACACACACACACCCCATTATAAACACATACACAATTATACACACAAATACCCACATTCACACACTGCAGCTACCTGTTTATCCCCCATGCTCTGATGCCTGCACGGTGCAGGAGGGGGCTGTGTGCATTTCCGGAGCTCTGCTTTCATTCCATGATCTCTCCAGAATGTATCAAGAAAGGGGCAGGCATATGATATTTGTTAAAAGCTGGTTATTTTCCCTCTTTTCACAATTAGCAGTCTATGTGCTAGTGACCACCCACCACCCAGCGGTCAGAGACCCAAACCTGCCTAAGCCTGGCTCTGGGCAGTGGGATGGAACATCTTTCTTCCAAGGGTGGTGTAACATTAGTGCTTCCCACATACAGACATGGAAATTTGGGCTTCATTAAGACTTACTAGGCAGTTAACACCAGCCACGAAATCAGAACAGATTTACCAGAGTCTCCAATTGTGTAAAGGTTACCTTTAATTACTTTCTTGGAAGAAATGATATTTAATATGCAAAATTTAATAACTTTCTAATAATAATTCCCAGTAGCCACAACATTTGCATTTCAATAAATTTAAGAAATTAGGTATGGATAAATTTGTGGAAGCCAACTACAGCATATGTTAAACAGCATAATTACAATTTTAATAATATGAACGTTAAGACAGATGCCTTTTCACTAGTTCATTTCAGTGACAAGGAGATAGATTTACACATTCTCTCTAGAACCCTGGAAACGTTTGATGCCTCAACTAGAAGCACCAATATACTGACTATTAGCTGTTCGTCTCATATAAAAGCAAATACTCTTTCCTTAAATTCCTGATAACGATATCACTGTCTAGGGTAGAACCTTGAAAACTTGAAGGTTAAATTTTTGGTTATCAATGAATACCTTCATACAAATTCCAAGAACATCTATAATACAATAATACTTCAGTTTTGTTTTAAGTCATCAAATAAGCAAATATCCAAGTGAGTAATATGTAAAGATGAATGCACTGAACATTTAATATTAATCACTCTTACTGATTATCTCTGGTTTCAAAATTCAAGACAAAAAAAGATGAGTTATAAAAGAGAGCAATTACAATCTGGCATACAATCGCCCTGCAAACATTTGACTCAGCTTTATTTTTAAAGGTATGCATTTCATTCAGTGATGGCGCCAAGGGAAAGAATAGAACAGTGTCCCACCCTCCTGAACAGCATTTCCGCACCTGCTTTGGTTTTACAAGGGCCTAGGACCTGCCTCACTGCCTGAATAATACTGTAGCTCTCTCAAGGCAGAGGTGGTTAGATCTGATTCTTTATATCTCTGGGAACACAATACCATGCCTGGCACATATGAGGTTCTCTCCATGAACAGAACAAATTGAAACCAAACAAAATCTTTTTCAAAACATATAAGACTCCTACTTTTAACACTGGTATTAGAAAAAGACACAAGCATCTGCCTGGCTGCAGGACAATCAGGCTTTTTCTGCAACAGGCTAACAGTTTGCCTAATGGTTAAAAGCATGGGTTCTGGAGTTAGACTGCCAGGGTGTGGATCCCACTTTACTGCTTCCTAGCTGGGTTACCTTGAGAAGAGAGTTGGCCTCTCTGAGCCTTAGATTCCTCACATATTAATGAGGGTACTACTACAGAAGACTGCGATGATTAAATGAAGCAACAAATGGAAACCGTTTAACACAATACCTGGTACTTAGTAATGCTCAATAAAGTTGAGACATAATTGCTAGCATTACTATAGGTAGGTTTAACGGTTCAGGAAACATGATTTGATCCACAATATAAACTATACATTGTGTTACAATAGGGGATCAACTGAATATCCTAAGAACGCCAATCAGCTACTATTGAGAATATTTACTTTGTTTCATAATCACAACATAATTAGAAATAAGTGATAATTGTTTCAAAATGAATTTCTGAAGATAATAAGCTCTACTACATTCTATGGCCCTAAACACAAGTAATGCAGACATTAAATATAATTAAACTTGGAAAATAATTTTTGTTATGAAAGTTTTAATAAACTGTTAAGCTTATGAAATTGATTAGCACTGCGGAAAAATAACAAAAAATTAAATCATAAATTTTAATGAGTATGTATGTATACAGCTGAATATTTGTTTATTCTCTCTCTCTCTCACACACACCCCGCCCCCAAGAAAAAAATGCCATTTACCTATACCGGTGCTTATAACTCATGGATCCAAACTTGCTGAGTCTTCTTGACAATGAATTTGATTCATTTTCTGGCATTCTAATGAATTTTTAACAGAAAATTAGAAAAATACTCATAAATACAGCTACTTATGCAACACTTGTTCAAAAGCTGCAGAGAAAACATAGTGAAACACTAACAGCTAGTCAAAATGCTTTATTTATTCCACATATTGGCAAAAAATAGGAATCATTTATTTTAAGCTAATATTTGAAACACAACCACACTCTAGGATTTTATATATGTATAATATCAAACTACTCAAACTTTCTGAACACTACTATACACATCACTGCCCTAGGAAGCTTTCGTTGTGAATCAACTTATTTTTTCTACTTAATCACCTTGAGAATTTTGTCACTGTGTTGATTTACCCATGCCAAGGTTTTCATGGCAGTTAATCACATCCGATGTAGTGGTTCACACTTCTTCATACAATATACTGTAGCACCTCCCATTCAGGGTACCTTCAATAGACACCTCGATGGGGAGCTCCTCAACCCAGCCCCACTGAACTAGAAACAATACTTCAGGCTTTTTGGAGAACATCCCTCTCCCTAATACAAACTATATAAAAGACATTGGTCATTTTATAAGAATACTTCTCCAACATCATGCTATTTGGGGAAACTGTACTATGCAAATCAAATAGGAAAAAGGAGAAAAGTTAATCTAGTTTTAAATTTAAAAACAAAAAATAAAGCTTAATGTACTACCTGATAAAATATAGTTTTACCTTTACACCATAAGGATGTGAAACAAACAAAAAGTGTCCCCACAATCCAATGGTGAATTCTCCACCCTCATCTTACTTGACCTCCCAGGAGCACACGACACAGTTTCCAGCTCCTTATTCACCATGACATTTTCCTCCCTCATTTCCCATTTTCCCACACACTCTACATTCCCTTCTCATACTCCTTGACTGGCTCTTTTGGTCCTCTAAATGCTGGGAGGGTCCCACAGCTCAGTCCTTGGCTTTCTGCTTCTCTCTCTTCACTTTTCCCATTGCTGACCTCATCTATTCCCCTTTGCCTTAAATACCTACTAAGATTACACGGCCAACCTTGGTCTTTCCAATGAGCCTTGTAAACCCAATTGCCTACTCCACATCTCCACTGAGATGGCTAATGGGCATTACAAATTTAATATGTCCACAGCAGAATGCCTAATTTCCATCAATGTCAAAACTGCACTTTTTACATAAAACTAAAAAAACTGTTCTTGACCCTTTCTTATAGTGTAAGCAAAGAAAATATCTATGTATATGTAAGCATGTATGTATATATATGATTGTATTAATATGATCCAGAGAATTCGGTGGCTAACAAAAAATTAATAAAAAAGAAACACTTAAAATGTCTACTTTAGACAGAAGTCTTGTTGCAAAAACAAATACGATTTTCATTCATTAGGACAATGAACAAAGCTTTCACATTAACATACCTAAAAAATGTATGATGTTCTACACTGCACTTCCAAAGATGCTTGCAGGCAGTTTTACTTCGAGCTTCAAAAAAGAATGAGGTTTCATTGCACTGAAGGAAAAAGAGGGAGAATATGAATTACTGACCACAACATTCTCCAGATGACAGTCACCCTCTAGGTACCAAAAATTCACGTAAGCAGAAAGAGTACTGTTAACACATCAAACAAAGAATAATTATCTCTTGGTAACTATTTCTGGAGGGTTGCCTTAAAACTACCTTCAATTAATTAAAATTACAAAATATAAGTTCCGTGTAAATCTTAGTGCTATCGCCTTTATTACCTGCTCCTACATCACCCCATGACCATGGATAGTCAGGGTGATGGCAGTGAATGTACAGCCAAGTTTTCCGTTATAAATGGGCACCAAAATAGGAAAAACACTGACCATGTGGCAGTCAATTCCCAATAAAAAGAAGATACCCATAAACCCAGTTCTTAACTGTATCAATTTCAGGGATGCAGAGGCCACACTCAAAGTGATTTCTGAAGCATCTCAAGAGGGGCCACTGGGAGGAGTGACCACCACAGCAGTGAAATCCAGGCAAGCTAAATAATGTTTCTGATTCCAAGTTTCTCCATTCTGCATCATGTTATTGGGTGAATTAAATGAAATAATATGACAGATGTAAAGTGTCATACAATAGGTATACAAAATATTTTAACTATTATTTCAATCCAAGAGTTACTTAATTATCTATATTTAATACATTAGAAATGCAAGCAATATTAGAGGTAATTCTAATTGTGCAGAAGATACTTCTTTTTTTAAGTGACTGAATAGGAAACCAAGCAACATACAATATAAGTACTAAAATAATAAATCACAGGTGCTGTGAAGTTACATAATTGCTAATTTAGTTTCAAATAAAAACCAAACTCAAGTCTCAAGTGCAGGAATGCCCCCGGAATGTTTCCACGGATTCATAAACGTAAAATTGTCAGCGCAGAGGAATAACTGAAATGATTTTCCCTTCTACTTTTAACAAGGACAAAGAATTTACACGCAGGAAATTTCTCCCAAGCCCATCTGGGATGAGGCTGCTCAATGTAGGAGTTTATTTGTAAAATGAAAGGGTGTGATGAAAACAGAGCCAATATATGCATGTTACAGCAAGGCAAGCTGTAATTCCAAAACTTTGCGAGGTGGAGGAAGAAACTTCGCATGATTCCCAGGTTTCTGGCTTGGGTGCTGCAAAGTACTAAAATACAGCAAGTGGCAAAAACTGGGGATTTGGTTGGCAAGGGAATGGACAATAAGTTCAGGCTATTTTGATTTTGAGGTGCCTATGGAATTGGAAACTTAACACACCCCGTGGGCCAGTAAACAAGCAGGTGTAGACCCCAGGAAAGAGGTCATATCAGCTGGCACAGATGATTTCACCCAAGAGTGTAAAGACATGGCTCAGGAAGATGGCACAGAGTGGATAAAGGTGGAATTACAGCGAAGATGCTCGCAAAGATGGAGAGAAAGAGGTCAAAAGGGACCAGGAGGCAATGGTGTCAGAAAGGCTGGGAGAACAGCTCAATTCTCAAGTGACCCAGAAAGGTCAAAAAGGGTTTGAGGAGAGGCTACTGCATTTCATGGTAAGAAATCTTCAGTGACTTTCATGAATGGGGTAGGGGTTAAATAATTAAAGATGAGGAAGAAACATCAATGAATTCTGAAAGTGTTTTCCCTCAAAAGCAAAACAAACTGTGGGGAGGGGTGGGGGAGGGTACAGAGGAAATCATAGGAGATCCCTGGGGGCGGGGTGGGAAATGAAGTTTCCTGTCAGGAGATGAGAATGCTTAGCGGGGAATTTCTTTTCTTTTACTTTTCTTTTTTAATATATAATAGATATGCTTGGTACAAACACCAAAAGTTACCAAAGCAGATAAACAAAGATAACTACATCTTCCACCGCTGTCCCCAATTCCCCTCCCCGGAGACAACCACTATAAGAGTTTCTTATGTAACAGGTAGGAGTTTTTAAGGTCAGTGCATTATCCCAAAATATAATGCACAGATCATTTATTTTAAAATAATTTTGCTTATGATTGCATTCTATCAGGATGAACCATTAAGAGAAAGTGAGTACAGGACAGGCTTCCCCCCACACACCACGTTCCTTAGCATAAGCTCCCCCATCTCCCTGTGCTTTTCAACAGCCGAAGCCCTGAGGGCGGCAGGACATACAGGGTATTATCACCGACAGGAAATGGTGGCTGGTGATGTCTACTCTGTGACACAGACACTTTCACATTTTAGCAAGAGCGCCCACAAACAACGTGGACATGTACAAACCTAAATCAAACTTTCAAAAAGTTACTACATATAATCCAGATTTCCAACAGTGGAGAAGAAACAAGCATTCAATCTTAAAAATAAAATTAAGTGAATCTCCTCAAACTTTTCATGGACTGGTTTCCACTTTATTCTTCACATAAACGTCTCTATTCTTTTGCTTTTCAAATAGAGGCCTGGTCTCAGGATATCTAATTTTTAACACATTTTTTTAAACTACCATCACTTAATGGAAGGATAAAAGGTATTTAAGATCCAACCAGAATTGGGTTTTCTCAAGTTTCCTTGGGTACAAAATACATTAAAGGAAGAAAAGAGCCCCCCACAGGCCTCCTAATTCCTTCTGCCACGTGCAAACGACAAGCATGAACTCATTCCCCATTTATACAGGGCTTGAAGACCAGCAGCTTGTTTTTTATCCCATTGTTAGCAGAATGATCCAAATACTAACAGGAAGGTTACATAACCTAAAAAGAAGCCAGGTATTCTGGATAAATTCTGTATATTTTTGCCACTTACAGCAACTGCTGGCATGAATTAACTGAGGCAATATTTCAAATATCTTTATTCCCCCCACTCTCCTACCCACCAAACCTTTTCCAAACAGACACACCAATCAGCACCTTTCCATTCATTCATGTAAAGACAAGCAGCTGCTCCACTTACGTCCATTCCAACCTACTGCTAAAATACTTTATCCAAGCATCCAATGCTTGCTTTTGACAAAATTACTCCAACACCTTCACAGCTTTGGTCATTTCATGCCAGAAGCAAAGCTATCATCTGAATCTTTTTTATTTCATGAACTGATGAAGCTTAAATTCCCTGTAACTCAGGTATCATGTGGGAGTTTCATTACTCTGTGGATCTCTGGGTTAACTTGGCTAAAACCCCCAATTCCATCACTTGTAAGAATTCAGGACCTGATTGTATTATATCGTCGAATTCCCAACTCCCTCTGGTCTTCTCAGTCTATCTTCCCATCTTTGCTGGCTATGTTTCTCTTTGTAAGCTTACAAGAAATAAGTCTACTTTAGCCCGGCTTCTCCTAAGACTATTGAGATGACTGACAGGGTCATGGAGGGGCTCCCATAGCAAGCTGCACAGCAGCTTACTCTCCGTGGGCCCACTCAAGCGTCACTGCTCTCCCGAGGCTGACCCTCCTCGTCACACACAGCCCACACTCTGGCTGGTTCCTCCGTTTCCGTCTTGGGAAGCATCCACGACTGGACAGTCCGCCTTCCTCAGTCTCCCTAGAATTATGGGGATGAACATCCTCTCAATCCTATTATTGTACATTTGTCCCACCTCCAAGGTCACCAGAAGTAACTCAAAGCACATTGCAAAGGTCAAATATTTAAGAGTAAAAGAAATTAGGACTTCTAACAATACTAAGATGCAATCATCATATAAATACTGGAAAGGCCAATAGGAGAGAGGTTTCTTATCAATGATCTATAGAGCTAGAAGGGTGGCTGAAAAGACGTGTGAAGATTACAAGTCTAAGATATTATGGGATTATTTATTTTTTTTACATTCAATCTCTACAAGATTTATATTTACTTGGCAAGTGTTAACTTACTTTAGGCACTACAGGGAAAAAACCAAAATCATCATAGGACTGATAGCAAATGACAGAAATAACTTACTTATTGATAAAGCAAAAGAAGGCAAGTTGTGGAACTGAAAAAATTTTATCCTTCAACTGAAAAGAGATACCAGAGAGAGATCATGAAATGTTAAGTGTTTTGAGAAATTTTATCTTTATAAATGGTGAACTGAATGATTGCAGTTGTAAAAGTTGAACTATGTGCGTGTATGTGATAGAGTGGGCACAATGTCTGTTTTAATGACTTCCCCCGTATTTTCCATTGCTTTCTCTTCTAGACATCTTGATTTCAAACCTAGCTAATTCAGAGTGAGCCCTGCAACAAAAATTTACCAGTCTTCTTATTACTTGGGAAAGGAATTTCAAAACACTGCATAAAATATTATCTTTCAAGCTTTTTCTTTACATAGTCCTCCCTCAAGAGTGTTTCTTATAACACTAGTGTCTTGTGATATTGGTATAAGAGTTCCATGGTCAAGTAAGTCTGGGAAACACTGGGTTAAACATCAGATCTTTTAATGTACTAACATGCACTGGGAATCTCCAAGAGCTGGGAGGGTATTGGTGTTCCCCTGATTTATATGAGCAAAAAACTCTGTTTCAAAGAAGTGCTTTTTGAGTACTCTGGCTTAGAAAATATTGCACTACTCATAAACACCCCTACACACACAAATACATATTTTGTAAAATTGTTTCTGAAATGCATGTTTTGAATTAAAAATCACCGTGCATTTCAGCAGAACACTTGGAGAATAAAATTAATTTCTATTCCTGCATACATGTTACATTTTACAATAAAAGAACAAAAATAGCAAAAATATTCCAGTACTCTTTTGTCAGCTGTGTGGGTTATGTTCCAAAATATATACTAACTGTGAAAAACCTTTTTACCTCTTTTACAGATGAATAAATTGACTGCTTGATAAATAATTCTATACAACTCTTTCTAGTTCATAGAAACATAAATTATAGGGTAGGAAAGGATGTGTTAGATGGTGCTGCTTCTCCTCTTTTATTTTTTTCTCCCAAAAATTCAAAAAGAAAAAATATCAGGCAAAACATTAGAGAATATTTATATCACGTTTCAGTAAACTTTGAAAACTACTTATTATGTCGAGCTTATTTTGCTTCCTATTTGAAGAAATTCACAGATA